GAAGTGAGACATACCTCTCACTCCTTTCCCTCGTAATTATCTTCAAAGACTCCACAACGCCCGGAACGCTTTCATGCTCCAACTGAAAGGGATACGAGTTAGCAAAGGCGACGGTAAATGAGTTGAGGAAAGGGGGAGAAATGAGCAAAAGAGAGAAAAAAATTGGTGAGGACAAAAACGTAACCTGACTGTATTCGCCCTCTGTGTTCTCTCTTATCACCATGATATCCACGTTGGAGTGTCTTGTTTTTACGCCCGGAAAGGTATAACAGTGTTGCACATAGGCAAAGAGACCCAACTGGTTTCGGATTGCCAAGTTCTTAGATTTCATTCCTGTTTAAGTGATTCAAAGACATTTACATGATCGGCGGTTCTTCAACAGAAACCCTAGACAGGACAAAGAAGAAAGGAAAAGGGGCTTTCGTGCTTTACCGGGTAGAGTATCCAGACTGCCCTTCAGAGCAACACCGTTGCGCTGGATGGCCAGGATCGCATCTTTAAGTACGGACTGATCAGAAGAACTGTTAATCTCGATCTCGTCAAAATCAATCGGTGCTGCAAGAGCATGCAAGACCGTTTTTACATGACCCATCATTTCTGGACTGATGCCATCGCCAAGAAGCATTGCCACCGTGTGCCGTCCACCATAACGGGCCCTAGGGAGAGTTGCGTAACCTGGAGGCAAAGCATATTTCGGAAGAGAAGGAGTTTCAACGTGTCCACTGGCAACGACGTGTGAGCCTGACGAGTCCCAAGACACTCCAGTGTTTGGAGACTGGGTTGTGGGTAGCGGGGAGGCGGAGGACGAGGACGAGGAAGAAGATGAGGAAAGACGCCATGCCTAGACAAAAGAAGGATTTAATTGTTTACCTTCGTATTGTCTTACGGCAAGGAATGACAAACTGCCTCGAAGGAACCGTGCGGTGGTGAAGGAACGTGAAAGTATTTTTGTAGTGTCTAAGCACTTGTTATAAATAAGGTTTCCGGTCTAAAGTGTGAAGCTGTTACTTCGCTCAACGTATGCTACAACAATTCAGTCAATTACTTCTAAAAGTTACAAATGATCTGCGGCCTTTAAAATTAGCATTAATTGTGTAGGTTTGTAAGATTTAATGTCGCGAAGCCTCATCTCAAAACATTCCAGTCACGTCAAGATGCCGGCTTTGAACGAGCTTCTTTCCGACTGCCCGCAAAAACAACACTGTAAAAAATGACTACTTGGGTGGTATATACCTTCCTCGTTGGCTTTCGATTGTCTTACATATGCAAATAGATTTTATAGAAGACATGCAATCACATTTCTTTCTTTATACCCATTTTGTAGAGAATGGTTTCTTTTAAATGTTACGCATGATGAAGGGGTATCCGTCAGTTTTAAGTTTCTCATTATGAGATGTTACAAGAACGAGAAATGTTCATTCATAATACATTGTATGCTGCAACTCAATACTGTTTTCTATGAACAATATAACATGATTAACATTCATTGCAAAATTTTCTGAGAAATTTGACCTCAACCTTATAGCGTAGAGAAATGTGTGATTTTTCGTAGACTAAGTATATAAAACATGTAGTTTAGAAACCTTAAGTGCAAATGTAATAACTGGTACAGCTTAAAATAATTTAGTTATTTATATTGTTAAACCTTAAGGTGCAAATTTTGAAGGCGTAATTTTCCACTACTGTATGTAAGTTGAAAAAACACAAAAATCAGTTGTCTCGGTCTTTTAAACTAGCAGTTAACGGAGTTTGACGCACATGCTCAAAAGGACGCACTCTGGCTGACAGTAGACGGCACGAAGTATGGAGCTGCTGAATTGACTTCATTACTAAAAAAAAGTAAAGGAGTATTCTAAGAAGAGGAGAACACACGTAGGAATAAACGCAAACATTGAGAAACGGGTTAGGAGCTTTTAATTCAATTGTTGACGAGAGACTGATTAGAATCAGCAAACGGTTTCCCGATACGGGTTCACTGTGTTTTTATATACCGATTGTTTGTGTGGCTTCTAGTGGATGATAAGAAGACTGAGAGTATCCAGGAATTAATTGAAACCCAAGGGGAAAAGGCACCCAATTTCGTCTTAAACAGGGGCCAGACAAACTTGATGACAGACAATTCTAACCACTGGAATAATTTTAATGGAGAGATATTCAAAACGGGAAGCGTAGATAGTTATAAATCGCCTGTTACTCCGTCCAATTGGACGGAGTCGAACAACCGAAACTCCGAATTCGCGCCGTGAGCTCTATTGTTGAATAACGGAAGGCTGATTTCTCGGCCGTACGAATAACCGATATTCTCTTTCCCTGGAGACTCGAGCTGCGGCTTCCAAGACATTCGCCTAGTAGAATAAGCAAAACTCTCGCTCATCCTATAATAAGTTCGCTATGTGTCACAGAGAAAAGGAATATCGATTATGCGTTGAGGTCAATCATCCGTAACCTAAGCACTTCGACTTTTCAGTGCCAGTGCTGTGCACTCAACAGATACGTACGTTTTAGCATCTATCAATGGTGGTATAAACAGGGAATTCTAGTGAAGGTGACCCTATGAGGTACGCGTTCACATGTGCAACACACAAACATGTCTCCCTTTTAAATTTCCATGCATACTTCACTTGCAATTGAAATGCGCATGTTCTGCTCATGCGCCATACTGGAGATAAAGAAGCGGGTAACAAGCTTGCTACAAGATAATGACATGGTGTTGTGTTGGCAGCAATCACGCGCGTAGTGTGTAGTAAGTTCATATGTAACCTAGGCATATGTGTGTTGGCAGACAGGGTGAGGTGTGGTGATAGGTTCTGTGGTTTCTTTCCTAAGATGTACATAAAGACTGATACTTTGGAGTGGGCACGTGTGATGGAAGATAAAAATAGCGAAATAACATAACAAAGGTATTTCCCATAGTCAAAAGACGATTAGGGTAAGTTAGAGGGGTGCTTAGTTGTCCGTCTTAGAAGACCATTACTGTTGTCGTAGCTTGCTCAACGCGGACTAAGTGAAGATGGTGAAGAAACTGGGTGAAAACTTGTTTTAGCCCATCCTATAATGACGTGGAGGTGGTTACTGAACTCACAGCCCTTGGTTCTATCTGTGGGCTTGGGCATAGTGAGCTATTCCGGCCCCACCGCAATAGGTAGCACGGCTGAAGAAATGCTGCGCGTGACATCCATGAGATCTGCAGATCGGCGGTAACCACCACGTAAACCTCCTAGTTGCGAATGTGGTCCACACGTAAGAGCTGATCTTTAGTCGAGCAGGGTTAGGAATTGAACATTGCCAGCAAAGACAAGGGAGGTTAGAATGGCCATCTCTGGCTTATTAGTCGTCACCAGCCAATCATACCAAATCCCAGTTTGTGTGATCGGTGAGCATTCAGCTACGAATACTAATATTCCCAATTTAAATCTGCAAGACAACAGGCCCGCGGATAAATGATTAGAGAGTTGAACGCCTGCTAACTAGGCCGCGGGTTGGAGCCTCGAGTGGCGCACCGCCACGGGTTGGGAATGACTGGCTGATGATGTTAAGGAGTCGGCGGCAATCGTGGGAGAAGAGGATGGGGGCTTTGTTGGTGCACCATGCCTTTTGCGCGCGCCGCTGTGAGTTAACTGACCAGATGTTTAACGGGGCACGGACGTTGTTGGCGCTTTCTGTCCTGGTTCCTCCTTCTTCTTCTCCTCCTTGGGCACCTTGGCAGGAGGTGGAGGCGTTGCCTTTGACACTTGGTTCAAACGTTGGGAAAACATATTCGGCATGGAATTTGCCAAGGCCGATAATGCATGGAATGTGCGCCTGCTCTAACGCAAACTGGGCACCAGAGAACATGAGCGGCATGCGGATATCATTCTGCCGATAAACCCTCGTGACTTTACTTTCGATGAAACCGTCCAGCGCCTATCAGAGACTTTCGGCGAAAAGTCATCCTTGTTCAACATTCGGTACCAGTGTCTCAAGCTGGTGAAAAACGAGGCAGGGGATTCTCACACACTCGCCAGTACTGTCAACCGCGAGTGCGAAGGGTTCAAGCTCCGAGAATTGACCGATGACCAT